GCCACGCTCCCTCTAATACCATCGATATTTCAAAGGTTCTCATTTTGATCACTGTTGGGACCCTTTGTTGCACATAGTACATGCAGCTATTGAGAGTTTAAAGGAACCCTTCCTGGGAAAATAGGGAAGAATTTCCTCCTCACTTCTCTGAAGAGAAGCTTAAGATCTAATTGAAAAGGCTTGGGGAAAATCAAGCAACCAAAGATTATGCATACTTTGCAAAAAGCAGGGCATATTTCTGTGAAATAACAGAATTTTTGAGAAGTATGTAATTCAATTTCTTTGCCCTTTTGGGTTCTTCTCCCCAGATACTTGGGTGTATAAATCAGCGTACCTTCGCTGTCTTCACTTCAAAAGGGCTATGCCATATTACACCGGTTAAGGCTTTGACCAATAGAAATTGCAAAGTAGATGGGAACAGTGAAAGTCCAACAAACAACGATGTTTTGGAAATATTTACTGTCCTTCCTACGAATGTCTTTGCTGTGTTAATTATCCTGAATTAGAGAGCTGCTATTGACTATGTCGTTGCATCATAAAAAAAACAAGTGCTGTAGTACAGAGCAAATATAAATCTCTTCTTGGAGATTGGAAGCCACTGTTAGGTTTTATTTTTTAAAACAGTTGTACTTATTCCAGTGGCCTTATTGGGAACTGTAACTGAATTGAAATATGGTTTGGCTTTTGCAAGATTAATTATGTTTTCTGTAAATCTTGCGTATATACAAACTCTGTAAAGCGTTTATTCCCTTATTACCACACACAAAGCTGAAAGAGGTTACAAACACACCTGTAAAATGCAATATGTGGAAAAAAAGTTTTCATTTAAATCTTCCCATTGAAGTCAATGTCTTGGACAGTAGCAACTTGCGGCTTTCAGAGGTAGCGTCAGGGTACAGTAGAATGATGTGTATTAGGGCTGTTAACCTCTAACCAACTCCTTTTTGTTTCCTGGTTTCGTAACTGGTAACGAGTTCACAATAACCCACGGTGTGAACCCTGCCGCCTCCCAGCAGCAGCTCCAAGAGGGTTTCTGAGGGTGTGAGAAAATAGCAAGCTGTGTTGCACTTTTTCCGCCTTCGTGCCCATCCTGCATCGCTGCTCAGGAGCTTGTTCTGCTGCGTTAGGGTGTGTTTGAAGTAGAGCAGGAAAAAGAAGTGCTGATCATTTTGAGATCTGGTCTGGGTAGAGCACTGGAAAGCAAAAGAGATGGGGTGCAGCTCTGGGAATGCTTGGTTTATGGATGCAGTTGGGATTCTGCAGACTTCAGTGCCTTGTCTTTGTAAATGGAGAGACCAATTTAAACCTATTAATGATATTACCATTATTTCTCCTATTTGATTGCTGGTGGTTATTTCAAGCCAACGTTAACCAGCAATTAGAACAAAATATATCCTTCTCGTTGATTCAGTAACTGGATGTTTTACTGCAACATTTTGTCATCCTCATTCCCATTGCTGTGAGTGGGAATTGCTCAAGAATCTTCTCTTGTCATTAAGTGTTAATGAAGTGTAAAGAGTAGGGAGGAAATAGCTTTCCTAATCCATTAGGGATAAGAAGCTGCTTCCCTCCCCCCAAAGTGAAAGCAAAATACTTGGAAATCTTCTATTACATGAACCTTTTTTTTGAGGAAAAAATAATCATACATACTGTTTTATACCCTGAAACGTTATGTTCAACTCTCAACCTCATGAAACTGTAAAACGTGTGAAAACAAAACTATATTCAACATTACTTCATAAAACTAAAGATCAGATTGCTCTCCAAATGGTAACAAAAAGTACAGTCTCATTTTTTCTGAAGAAAAATATTTTGAGAATTTGTTAATTTGTGGCATTTTTCATTGGAAAGACATTTCAGTAAACCAATTCTAGGATGATTTAATCTAGAACCAGCTGAACTGAAAACATGGTGTTGGAGCATACCTCTCCATTTGGCTTAGCATCAGATATTGGTGTTAATAGAGCTCACATGGGAGCGCGTATCAAGAATTTATCGCAGATGGGGATCTTAAAAAGGAGCAGGAGGAAATTAGCACGTGCTCTGCTCATTGATTTCTTTAAGCGCTACTGATCAGTGAGCTTCACAACCACGAGGTCAGTTCTGCACAGAAATGAAGAAGGATATCCTGTTGGAAAACGTTAAGAAGGACAAGCCAAGGGACAGAGTAAGTGGAAGCTTTTGTGAATTTGTGGATTGAATATAGGCATTAACCCTCTGGATCGGTGCTTCATCCTGCAGCCTGCAAGTGTGGTGGAGGAGCTGTTAGGGTTATGTCTCCACATAGCTGGTGATCGTTGGTAGGGAATAGTTGGCAGGTGGTGAGTTGGGAGCTCTTCAAAGATGCCTGCTGGCCAGAATTGATAAGGCAGAGGCTGTGATAATTATTGTACGTTTGTCGGAGTCTGGATGTGAGCAGTCCTTTTCTGATAGAATATAGACAGTGCTATTTTGCACATATTCCCCCCCCCCCCAC